TGGTTTTGCTCCTGTTTTTATAGCTGCATGTAGTCTTTATTTTCCTTCTTTCTAGTGTTATTTTAAGTTGGTTTAGAAAGAGCACCAGGAAACTGACATGGTTGTACAGGTACACAGTAGTATTTAAATATATATGAATAGTATAAACTCTATAAATCTACTGTATACTAAAATGTGCTACTTAGAATACCTTTAAAATTGTAGCACCATACAGTTCTAATCTTGTTTTGTTATTCATAGTCTGCAGTGCATAAATTTTCTACTGAAACGTATGTCATAGTTTGACAATCATTGTTTACACGTAATTTTCTCTCTTTTTATTACAATGCTTCCCCAGCAAGGACAAGTTTGGAAGGTTTGCAAAGCTTTTCACCTTCCCTCTGCCCGCTTGCCCGCTTTCAGATCAGTTTCATGTTTCATAACTTCTCTTTCTGCAATCCACAACATAGCCATAGTAAACAGTGGAAAAACATTAAATTGCAATACTGTATTTCCTCACACATGGCAGACAGATATAACGTTTCAAAGGACACATCCTTTTTAAAATGCAGTAAAAAGTTAAATAGAAATATTATAATTTTAGTAATTCCCTAGGAAATAACATCTCACTAGCAAGCAGTTAATTAAATGTCACATAATGAAACAGTGAACAGTATTCAAGATTATATTCTGTATTGCTAATAGTTTAGGTAAAAAGTTCTTTCTGATGATATATCTTACACTTGTATAGTGCTTTACAGTTTACTACAGAGAGTGCTGTACTGCTGATGTGGTCAAAATGTAAACATTTCCATTAGTTCTGTGCTTATGAGATATAGAATAGATGCAGATTTATTGTTTGAAGTACTGCTGGTATGATGGAAAACAGTGTTGTAACTCAGATATTCAGAGGATCAGGCAGCACACTTTAGCACTATAAAGACAGTTTTAGCAGCTTCCAGTTCTTTTGAACTAGGGCTCTTGTATTACAATGTTTAAAATGAATGAGGAAAACATTTTGGAAAAGACATTTAAACATAAGATTTTATTTTATAACACTTAGAAACAAGTCTAGTACTCTACTGAATATTTTAATTTTGTAATAATTATTATTAGCTTCAGATGAATACAATCCTACCTCAAATCAAGAATTTTTTTTTCTTTTTCTTTTTTTTTTTTTAGGTTTGAGCTTTTTCCTTCACTGCTGTTCTGCGCTAACTGCTTTGAAACTTTCCATGCATTTTTTTTCAGTAGAAGAACATCTCTGTACTGTCTCCCATTGCATATTTCAGCTGTGACAATCCCTGCACTTTGCCTATTCATTTTATCACCTGCTCACCAAACAATAAATATCTTTAATTTCTAATTGCAGATTTGCTATTCTTGATTTTAGAAGAAGGATGCATTTCACCTTTTTTATTACTGTTGTTTTATAGGCATGTGGAGACCCCAAGGCAAAACCATCCTACCTTATTGACAAAAACCTGGAATCTGCTGTGAAATTCATAGTCAGGAAATTCCCTGCTGTAGAAACCCGCAACAACAATGTAAGTCGTCTAAATTTTTGTATTACTTGATTTTGGCCATCTTTTGGGAAAGCAATGGTCAGCATAGTGTTTGTATTAGCTCTAATTCTTTATATTTTGATATACAGATTATGTGCATTTATTAGGGGTTTTAGAGACAATATTCTTATCTCTCTGAGGAAAAAGTAACTCAGCTACATTGCCATTTTATAACCATTTTATTACAGAAAACCTAAGATCTTAATTTCTTGTATACTTATTCCCTTTCAAGTTGCAATAAAAGTAAGATATTCTTATTATCTTACTTATTATTATTAT